TCACATGTTCTCAGGCAGCAGCCTCTTGATTTTACTGATCTTTTACTTCGTGAAAGAATCTCATTCAGCAAATGGGGAAAAGGAAAGAGGAAGATGTAAGTGGTGGGATGGCTGTCATGAATTGCCTAGGTCTAAAATACCCTACTGATGGAAAAGGAACTTACTGCCATTTCCCAAATTTACATATTTATTTCTGAGATTAAAACACAACAACAAAAACGAAAACTGAATTGAGAGCCCTGAGGTAGGAAACATACCAGCTAACTAGTTGATTGCGTGATTATTAGAAATTATAGAATCCATTGAGGTTCATAAGCAAGATGTTATTATTCAAATATACCCATAGTGCTTATGACTGGTTTTTCCTCATTTGTGGTTAAATTCAATATTTCACTAAAAATCATTATGTGTCTTCTATAACATTCATTTAACGGAGTCATTTAACTGTCAAGGGCTCCTGTCAAAGTAATTGTTCCAAAATGCTTCAAAATATCAAGAGCTTTTTGCTGTTCAGCTGAGTTTAACCTGAATTACTTTTTTTAATGAAAGGTAAAATAGCACAAAATTAGCAGCAAAGAGATGTTCATTTGTAAGAAGCACACTGGCCTCGTAGTCAGTTAAATTGAATTTTCAACCATGTTTTAGAACCATAAGAGCATCTCTTTTTAGTAGTGAAAGTGTTTCCTCTCTTCCTTTCACTGCTGAGAGCAGGAGCGGCAGAGCTAACGTGGATGTCGCACAGATGTTTAATCTACTGTGGTCATAATTAAACTAAAGGACTCTTAGGGGAGAATTGGCCCTCAGTTGAATTTTCCTCACTCCTAATATGCATGGAATGAACAAGATGATTGGGAAGTGGCTCTTTTCACACTTATTACCTTACAAGAAGCTCTCTGTTGGTGATCTCGGGAGCAAGCCTACCTGGCCACCTGGTCACTTTTCTAAAATGTTCGTCACTGGCCCAGGGGTATATGTCAGATCCTCCAGGGCTTAAAATCTCTAACAACTTTTCCAAAAGGAAAAAGAAAGCTGTACCATTTGGCAGTCCTTCTTTAGGGTGCTAGGGGAAAGATGGAGGATAGTGGTGAGAACCAAAACTCAGATACACACTTGGCCTTGGGGGAACAGAAGACAGGAGTTTGTATTTCATATCAGGATATCCAGTCCTCACTTACTCAAAGAAGACACAATTCAGAGCATCATTTACAAGTTCTGCTTTATCCTTAGTAACATTTCTTTCCTTCTAAATTCCTTTGAGTTACACCGGATTAAGAAACTAGAGTAGTTGGAAGTATGTGAAATTTGCTGTTTACTTAGAAATAAAATGTCCTTCACTGTCCTAAATCCTTTATGTGTCCCAAGAGCAACTCTATGCTAAGTCCTCCTGTCTTTGGAAACAGGCAGTATATGAACTTGTTACAGTGGCTGATACTAAGGCAGGCTGAGCCCCTTCTGGAATATGACAAATATTTTTTAATCTACAGGAGTTATTTTGGTAAGAGATTGGCATCCTAAAGTAATTATGGAAAGTCGGTGGTCTTTCTCTCAGTGATAGATTTGCAGAACTGCCAGTCAGTAGATTATGGCAATAGTCATTTATATAGACTTCCTAAGGCAAAGAGTTATTTTAGAAACTTCAGAAGTATTCATTTTAAAAATGATTCTCATAAATATTAACCTAATGAGAACAAGTTTGAAAGAAGTTTTGCTGCTGTTATTTTTAAATCAGAAGAAGCCAAGGGAAATAAGTTAATAAGGCACTTTAAGTTATTTTTCTAAGTCGGTAAGACGCTAACTTTGAAAGTCCTCTTTTGTACAGTAAGGAACACTGAGTCCTGGGCCCTTTCCTTGACCTAACTAACTGTATGATTTTGCCTAAATCATTTAATCTCTCTGGATTTCTAATTCCATGGTTGCGAAATAATGTAGCCGCACTAGATGACTTGTAAACATTGCTTGGAGCCCTAATATCCTGATCTTACGATATTTTATCTAAGGGTCTGTACATCAGTGTAAGAAATAACATTTATAAAATGTTTCGGCCCAGTGCCTTACTTAGTAGGTGTTCAATAAATGCCAGTTAAAGGAGTATCTTTAGGGGAAATGCAGGGTGGAGACACGTATTAGCATTATTGAACGTTCGGCCCCTACCAACCTATCCAAGTCCCCATCAGCTGCGGTTGCGACGCACGCAGCAGGCTCCTGCTTTTCCCACTGCGGTCGCTGCTGTTCCGAGCCCTCCAGCAAGAGGAAATGCTCAGTCTCCAACCTGGACCAACAGGTCCTCCGTGGCAGGCACCCTTCTCTTCCACCACCCTTGCCTCTGTGACTTCTTGTCCTCTCACTGTGCCTAACTGTCTCCACTCCAGCACCCCCCACCCCGGCTGCCCCCTCTCCCCACCTCCTTCCTGTCTAGTGGCCTCCCCCAAGCTCCACAGGAGGGCCTTGGCACTTTATCTTCTCTTTGCCTGGGGTGCTCATTGCTCCAGCATCCACGTCCCTTGCTCTCGCTCACTTTCTTTAGGTCTGCACTAAAAGAGAAAAGTCTTTATCAGAGAGGCATTCCGATCTCCCTGTATAAAGAGAACATCTCCATCATTCTCAACCTGCTTTATTTTCCCTCAAGCACTCCTCGCGTCTGACATTGTGTACTTTTGGTTGTTTGTTCATGGCTATACCTGCTCTATGCCCTGTATTACACTGTTGGGCGCATAGTAGATGTTCAATAAGTAAAGGTCACCACTGTTTACGGAGCACTTACTCTATTCCAAGCACCGTTCTAAACCCCTGGAATTCTCTAAAACAGCACAGTAAGGTACAGTTCTCCTTTCCCATTTTGTAGGCAAAAAAACAGGCACGGAGAGATTAGGTGACTTGAGAAAGGTTCACACAGATAAGAAGTGGCTGATCTGAGAGGAAATTCCGTGAATAGATAAGTAAAAGGAAGTAAAGAGATAAAGTCGTAGGTCTCATACGATTAAAAAGCAAAAACAGACTTTACTTTGTATTTTGTTTTTAAGGTTAAAACCAGTGTGAGCCCTCCTGTTGAGAGAATTTTACTTTGTAAACTCTGCTGGAAATCACAACTCGATGGTAGGAAGATGGATTCTTAAACACATGTGTGCATTTTCCGTTCTCCAAAGAATACTCGTCCATCTCCAAATGATATGTCAGCTGTATCTTCCCAGATGGGTGACCCTTTTAATACGATAACTTTTCGGACCCAGCATTTGGGCCAAAGAAATTCTCCTTAAATCCAGTGAATATTCAGCCTCTAGACTGAATCATGATTGCACGCTTAATTTAGGAATGAGTGAGTTGTGTTCTTTTCTAAGGTTTTTTTTTTTTTTTTTTAATTTATTTTGAAAGAGCTCGAGAGAGAATGAGTAGGGGAGGGGCAGAGAGAGGGTAAGAGAGCGAGAATCCCAAGCAGGCTCCACACCATCAGCGTGGAGCCTGACTCAGGGCTTGATCTCAGGAGCCGTGAGATCGTGGTCTGAGCCAAAACCAGGAGTCAGACACTTAACCGACTGAGCCACCCAGGGGCCCCAGGAACAAGAGAGTCTTAACGTGAGACCTACTGTGAAGAAGGCAAATGTCATTTTCTGAAAATGATACAAAAAGGCAAAGAAATATACTAGCATTTGCCACATCTAAGGTCTAGTTGTCTTCAAAAGAAGATACTCCGAGTAAAAGATGACTTATAGTTAGAGCACCGAGACAGAATCCAGGAGTTTCTAAGAGGTTATTGGGGAACACACTCGTCCTAAACTCACTGGCGAGTAAGCTTGTAGGCGCATGTTGTTTTAGTCATCAGCCTTCATACTGATAGGGTTATAGAAGTGCCGAGCTAACAGAGGCCATTTCTTTGAAGTTAGAATCCTGAAAACATCAATGAAAAGAACAATCAGGGAGCTGAAGACTCTGGCTCCAGTCTTTTTAGTGGACATATTTTTCAAAATTAAAAAGAAAATCATGAGGACAGTCTAAGTTACTATGGGCATCATTCTTAAACCCACAGTTTATAACTCCTTGAAAGCATGTGGTAAACTGTTAATTCTCTGCTTTATGCGCTTTAATTAAAAGTTTACAGTCTTAAGCTATGAAGCACTTTATATGTGCACTACACAATTTTGAAAACTGACAAAATAACCTGAATTCTGAAGAGATGTCTTAAAGGAATGATGAAGATCAGCTTCAGAAATCATTTGAGTGTACAGTACAGTTATTGACTGTCCTTTTAAAAGAGAAAAGAATATTCAGTAAATCCAGAGAATATTAAAGTAAGTGCTTTACTTGCCAACCGGGTATGTTCCGAAAGCTCAAAAGGTCATTTGAAGGTTGAGTTGTTTGGAACTTAGAGTAATAGTGTCTCATAGAAATGTTGCTAAAATCAGGCAAACTCTCCATAGCGTGGAGAATCTGCATAACCATCATACTGATTTAAAACTGAATGTTTTAAATAAGAAATAGTAGAAAATAGTATCTAGAATGGTGTTCAGTAAATATTTGTTGAATGAATAAATGCCATAATAGTGAACCAAGAACAAAACAATTAATTTTTTTCTTACATGCTAATGTATGAGAAGAACAGATAAATTGGAAGCCCTAGGTTTTACTGAAGCCACTGCAACAAATCCCTTGTTGGTTGGTTGGTTGGTTTCTTTTTCTTTCTTTTTTCTTTTGGGGGAGGGGGGAGACAGAGACAGAGTGTGAGTGGGGTAAGGGCAGACAGAGAGGGAGACACAGAATCCAGAGGAGGCTCTAGGCTCTTAGCTGTCAGCACAGAGCCCAATGTGGGTCTTGAACCCACAAACTGCGAGATCATGACCCAAGCTGAAGTTGGAAGCTTAACAGACTGAGCCACCCGGGAGCTCCAACTTTTTTTTTAAGTTTGTTTATTTTTAGAGAGACAGAGCATGAGCCGAGGAGAACAGGGAGAGAGAATCCCGAGCAGGCTCTGTGCCATCAGTGTGCAGTGTGGGACTTGAACTCACAAAACTTTGAGATCATAACCTGAGCTGATACCAAGAGTCAGACGCTTAACCAACTGAGCCACCAGGCACTCCTCCCTGATTTTTGAATAATGTTTTTTGATCATATGATGAGGATACACTACATCAAAGGGGGAGAGTAGAGCATGGTTTTAAAAGAAAAAGGCACAGACTCTCATTTATAGAGGGTAGATGCAGCCTTGCCCTCAAATCCTCCTGTACTCCTAGTAGCCATGTATCTGTGGATAACGAAGCCTCACTTTCTTCATCTGTAAAAAGGGTATATAATAATAATTTATTATCACAACCTTTCTTATTCCCAAGGTTCAAATAAATATTTTCACAGGATCAGTTGACCACCAAAAAAATGACTTCCACAATCCACGTCCAAAAAACTGTTTGCCCTTTGGAAAGTTACCATACCTTGAACAGCCCTCATTTATACTGGAGTAAAAAATTTCACAAATGCCTTGTAAAGATTCACATTTTGAGTCTTTGCCCTATATTCTGAAGGAACGTTATGCTTGGATTACATATGCCTAAGGAAGTCTTCATTCCCCTTTGGATGTCCAGTCTTTCAGCAGTTTACTTTAGTAATGGACATTAGGAATTATTTCAGGCCTGTCAGTTCACACCAATCTGCCTTTTTTCTGAGTTGTTCTTATTGAAATACAAGAGTATCAAAACGATACATTTATCAAAGCAGGAGGTAATCTTTTTCATCTTTCTTAGTCTTTTACTCTTGCAGGGGAGGTGACCTGTAAGCACTGTGTTCTTTTTTAAAATGAACAACTCAGTATTTGCTTCAGTGTATGTGTGCGCGCGCGCGTGCGCGTTTTGCTTTTATTATTGAAAAATGCTTTTGATTACTAGAACCATATTTTAGCATTACATACTCTAGCATATACTTCAGCTGAGATCCAAGGGGTTTATAACTGGAATTTCCAGAAGGACTGTGGTCGAATACTAGTTCACCTCCTATAATTTTTAAAATATGTAAACCCAGAACATAGTATTGAGCAAGACGTATTTATATTAATAGAGAAAGGAGTTGAGGGGCAGTGTTAGGAAGTTGACACATTTTAATGTTTGCTAACATGGGAAGGCATGAATATGGCACAAACATCAAATGGCAATTGCTCAGGTACAGAGTATATCGTAGTCACTAAGACCTATTTAGTTTAGTTCTTTGTTGTTGTTGTTTAGTTTTGCTTTTTTCTGAATATCCAGTGAGTGGAACAGTTGCTCTGCACTCAGACACTGGAAGTTCGCCTGGATCACATCAGATTTGTGCGTGAAAACAGTTGTTCTATTTCCTTTGTGTACTTCAGGGGTCTCTTGTGAACCTGCAAGAATGCACCTTTTTTATTTAAAGAATGAGTTTAGAGAATTGTGTCTGTTTCAAGTTGTCCCTAGCCATCTTTTTGGAAAGCATGAATGGATTTCAAGGGCTCTTAAATGAAGGTTAAATAAAGAACATAAAAGAGGATATTTAGAGACTTCAGGATATTTTTCTATGTTAATTGTGAGTTTCTCTTACGGAAACGGCAGTTTGTTGCCAGGTGCCCTGTTAACCTTCCGGAACAGGAATGCTTGACACCAGCTTAGGCCTGGGCAGAGCGTGGAGGCTTGACCCATGTTTCACATAGTCTGAGTAGACCCGAAGGTGGAGGGGGCAACTAATAGGAACACAGGATATTTTAAAACAATTCAATATTTTTAAAAAGTTGGCAGTATTATTTGGTCAGGTGGGGAGGATTTTTAAAAGAAATGCATCCCCCCAGTACATGACTTGCCTAAGAGATGAGGCGCTGTTAGAAAGAATCAGAGGAATTAATGCCAGGTCTGTGAAAACGGAAGCTGGAACTCACATCCCTGCTTAATAGGTTTTGACTTTGGGAGCCGCCTTAAAGTTCGCAAAGGGCGCTCAAAAGCTGTTGAATAATTGGGACTTGATGGAAATTCACGGTATAAGCCATACAAAACTAAAGACTCATAAGTACTCTTTGCGTTGTTTGAAGTTTTCAAAGGCTGTGACACTCAGATAAGAAGTTCAAAAACAATAATTTTTATTTGTGCTCCTTTCAAGAATTTAAAATGCTATTACGAGACTGCGGGAACATAGAGAGTTCTGACCTCCTGAGGGGGAGGAGGGAATTATGCCGCCTTTTGCTTCGTGTTACCACACTGAGACTAAATGCCGAAATGGAACAAATGAAAGGATTGGTTTTTTTCTGGTTTTTTGTATGTTTTTTTATCCCTAAATGTCAAAAGTGGCCACATCTCCCCGAGAAATAACGCACCTGATTAATTGTGTAATTTCACAGGGAAGCAGTAATTCTCAGCCTTATAAACATGTAATGTACTAATCTGGTTGCAGAGTTAACTGAAAACAGTTTAATGAGCTGCTGTATCGCGTGTGTGTGCAGCGTTACATAGAGCAGATGCCAGGAGAAATGGAAATAACACGCCAGTGACACTTGGAATAACAGTGTTTATACTTCATTGACTTTGGGCTGTCAGCATGCTATTCTCTGTGTTTCCCTTAGTAACTTATTAAGGCAACTGAACTCCAGTGTGATGATGTCTAAGTGTCCTTTGTTGTAAATTACACAAGCATGCACACACCAAATGCACTTAGTCAATCTTCGGGGGGAAAAAATAATACTTTCTCATACAGATGACCACAATGTTATCCATGAGACATGTACATGGAGCGAAAGGTGAACCTCTGAACACTGTGCATGCTGGAAAAGCCAGACTTTGGCCTTTCATCAGAAGAAATACTGTTTCTACAGATTTTCCCACTCATCTATTCTTGCTCTATTTTAACAGAATGGTCGTGTAACTCTTGGTTTGAAAGTTGTCATACAGCCTCACAGCAGGCTTATATTATCTACAGAGTTCTTTATGAGGAAATATAAATCACCACAAATGAGACTTTTCACAGCCAGAGATATGTAGAAATTTGTGTCAGTGCTTTGCTGGCTTGCTAAAAAATATCTCTAGGCTCCAAAGTGCTCTCACAGCTCATCCGCCCCCCCCCCCCGCTCCCTACCCTTTTGGGAAGCAATTCTCAAAACTTGAGATTTATGGTTCAGAGAGCTGATAGTGGCTATAAAGTTTTCTATTTTCTCTTTTCTTTAATATTAATGCAGGGAACGAGGCATTATCATTCATTATTTTAGTTCATGAGTATCCTGTGGGCTTGAAATATGGTTTCTTGGGGATATGGCTTACCTCTGTTTAATAGGGGAAATGTGTGGACTTCGGCAACAGGCTTCCTTTACCATCAGATATTTTTAGGCAGTTGGTAGAAAATTCACATTAGGAACATAACTTTGATATATGTGCCATATCCAGGTTTGGTTTTAACATTTAAAGCTTTACAAAATATTAATTCACCCTCAGTCCTAGAAGTGAAATACCACAAATTGGAGAATAGTCAGCCAGTGTATTATTGTTAGAAACTGAAATGATGCTATCTTCTCATTGTACTATGTTCACAGATGTACAATATTTCCAGCTAGTTTGACCTACAGTAAAGTTAGGTAAGTATAGTTAGGACTCCCTTTTCTCCACCAGATCTTTAAAACCAAGTCTTGTCTCTGAGAATATACATTGTCTTTAATTTAAACTTGCCCAGTTTTTATTAGCTCCAATATCCAGTTTCTAATGTGAATTTGCTTTTTCTAATTTTTTTTTTTTTTTGCAAAAATTTTTTCAGGTTAATTTTCTCCCTAAGTACATTATCACAGGCTCTGACTCAACCTGAATGGATGAAGTGTGCCTGTTTGTTTGGCTTTAACGGTTTCAGTGGGCCCTCAACTTTGAATTTAGAACTTCTTGCTTTATTTTAGACCTAAGTTTTAAGGAACAAATCTGAACAAGGGGCCTAAAATTAAGCCAAAAATATATTGAATAGGCGGTTTATTTTTAACTTTGAATAGATCGCCTGAAGGTCTTTCTTGTGTATTGGGCAGATGAATCTCTTTCGAGACCATATAATGAATTCTGCAGTGATTTAAATGAAGTTTAGTTCAGAGCAATTATTATTGTGCTTAACCAACTGAGCCACCCAGGCGCTCCTCAGAGCAATTATGATTGTGAAAGCAGCCTTTTGCTAAAGGCTCACTCATACCTTGACTGATAGGTAGGAGCTCCGATAATCACAATTACAGTGAGGTAGCGTTTATTGCAGGCTTGCTACGTGCCAGGCACTGGACTTGTCTTCCCTTGTTGCATCCTCATCTGCAAGGTGGGTACTGTTATTATCCCCATTGTACAGATGAGGAAACCGGCTGAGCGAAGTTAAGTAACTTGCCTGAGATCCCGTCGTTAGTAAGGGAGTCAGGATTCAGACCCCCTTAGTCTCCCAAGTCTCAGCTCTTTATTCACTTAATTCATAATAAATATTTTAAAAGAAGTTCAAATCACACCGATCTCAAGCATCCCTAGCAAGTCTGTACATGAGTCCTACCGACACCCTGGAATTGAAGGCAAAGCCAGTTCTAAAAATGGCTCATGCGACTTACCGAGGGATGTTTCGTGTCGGTGTACCGCTGAGCTTCACATGCTAGGGGTCATCTGTGTTTTCAAAACAACGTAGAGCACTGTCTAGTGGCTTGTGGGGTCAGAACAGGAAGACAGAATAAAATGTGTCATTCACTCCCCCTACTTCAGTTGTGATGAAAAACACAATGATTAGCGAGACTGTTGAAAGTGTATGTCTCTTTGGTACCCTGAGTCATTTTTCAGAGGCTTAAATGTGATTAACACAATCAATAGCACAGCGTAGGCCTTGGTGGATATATTGCAAAGCCTTGTGACCAACTGTCTCAGCATCTCAGCTTGTTAATATAACATGTTGGGGACTGCTTTCGCCTTGTGTGTAAGCAGCACAGCAGCAGCAAATTATTGTGTTCATTATTATTACTAGTTGCAGTGGCCGTTGTTATTTTAAAATCCACCAGTTTTTCACAAATTTGGAGTTTTATAACACATTTTTGCAAATTCAAGGAAAAGGAGGAGAGATTCTACGAGGAGAAGGGCTGCCTGGAGAATTAATAACATCTTTAGAACAAAGTTCAGGAATTGCAGCCCCCGGGTGCAGCTCCAGGATTTCACACAGCAAGGGCGTGGCACCTGTTCATGGGGGCACTTGCCAGGGACGGGGAGACCACCCAGCAGCACACCAGAGAACAAACTTCACACCACTCCGGTGGACTTCCACTCTCACCTGCCTCTCCTCTCCCGATAAGGAAATCAGAACAGCCAGACTCCCAGAATCAATGAAAAGACAGGGCTGACTAGAATGGAAAGTATTTGAAAAATAACACTGGACAGATTGGGCCAGATTAGGGAGGGCCATTAATTCTGTTCTGACGAATTTAGAACTTACCTAGAAGGCAATAGGGAGTAGTATGTTTTTGAAGGGGAAATTGATTTGGGCCTTATCATACAAATACATTGAAATGATTTACCTTAGGGGCCCGATGCTGGCTGGTTATCATAGCTGGCAGGTAGAAACCACTTATCCATCCCCACACAGTCATAGATCTTGTCTCATCTGGACTTTATCCCAACTGTGTGTTAGGCGCTGGTACCGTTCTCATTTTACTGGTGAGGAAACTGAAGCACAGAGAGGTCAAATTACTTGCCGGAAACCACACTGCTCATGAGTGGTGGAGCCCAGAGCTGAGTTGAGCCAAAAGACATTCTGACTCAACCGTTCATGCTTTTAGCTCTTTTCCGTATATGGCAAGTGATGTTCGGAAGCTCATTCCATAAAAAGTACTGGCACTTGAGGAGAATTTATTCTGATCTCAAAGATAGTAATACCCTCTACTTGAATTTCTGTTTTTTCTATATTGTTTTCTGTGTCCATTCAGCTCTGCTATAGGTGCAGATTTCTAATTTTTTTTCCTTTTTTTTGCATTGACTTTTATGCGGTTTTTATTAAGGAGAATTGCTACACCAATAACATTTCCTGGGTTGTTAATTTAATCAAATAACAGAATTTCTGACCTTTTGATAGGATGTGTTTACCATTTTAGAGGATTTATTGCAGCTGTTTTTCGAAATGTTTATATTTTAAAACACTATGTAAAATCATTCATTAAACTCCACATGGGCTCTTGGTACATGTACATCATTAAATTTGTGGCCACAGAAAAATCTACAGTGGCTATAGAAGGATACACCTCAGTATTCTTATTTTCTCATTAGTTAACCCATCAATACTTACTGAACTGAGTGTAGCCATCTGGCCGATGTTGCAGACACCCTAATGTGACGATAGAAAGTATTCGATGTAATCTTGCTCCTCCAAGAGCTCATAGTTGAATGTGAGAAAAAACATAGTCATGAAAATGACAGCAAAAAGAGAAACAAAGTAAATTACAAGATTGACACTGTCCATAAAAAAGAGAGAGGACAGCTTCAGGCGGACGCCCTTGTGACACGCTGACTTGAGGGGCAAGGTGAAATTCAGGTTTCAGGGTTTAAGATACTATCCTCACGTTAGTGACGGGGGCGGGGTGGGGGGCGGCTAAAAGTGCAACTTCTTGGAGTCCACTTCCGGAAAGCGTGATTCATTAAATTTTAGGAGATTGCTATCAGAATTTTCATTTTTAACAAGCTCCCCAGCAGTTTCTCCTGCAGGTGATATTCATTCCACACTTTGGGAACATTGGCTTAAAGTGTGGGAGGAGGTGGGTCTGAATTCAAGACAAGGAAGAAGCAGGGACTGGAAGATGTGAGTAAATGGAACCACAGCATTGGTGTGGAGAAAAGACAGTCTTTGTTCCGTGAGGGTGTGTACAGCGCAGGGAGCTCTGCTGAGAGAGACCAAGCTCGTGTAACGTAAAAGACCCAGATAGACTGAGATTATGGGAGGCAGCTCATTCACGTTGGTCATAACAAATACTTCCTTCTGCTACACTAAACAAACCGTCTCGTTTGCTTCATCCATAAATAAGATTCTATTTTACCCTGCTGATGCAAACAAGAACCAGGTGACTCTTCGGAGTTTTTGTATTTCTCATACAATTTTTTAAAGTTTCTGTATACAATTTTCACTATAAAATGAATTCCTTTTACAAAGTGGTTAATAGTGTAAGTGGGGTAAGAATTCGAAAGCCACATGCAAACAGAGAAGAAACAGGCATGATGTCAAGCAATAAGAAATACTCATTTTGGACCAACAGTTCAGAAGAAAAATGTGTGCTTGGGGAGAAAAGAAAGAATAGCAAGTAGTTCCTGTAATATTCTAATTACATAACACGGGCTTTTGGAAGGTGCACTGAAGAAGTGGGGGCCGCCTATTGTCCGTGACCTTTCGTGCTTGTCAGTTTATGTTTTCTTCTCGCTGGTATTTAGTTAGAGTCTGATGAAAAAAGGAGTATATCTAAATGGAGCCGTGATTCGGTTATGATTAAAGGTCAACAGCGATGTATATTTATTCACTATTTACTACTTACAAAATGGGTTAGACAGCAGTTATGATTTTAATCATATAATACGTCCTGATTCCTAGAAAATAAGACCATTATTTGATAGGTTCCTTTTAAATATTAGAAGTATAGGAAAGTAGATGAGACAAGAATGAGGAGAACTGAGTCTTAACTCCATTACTTACCAGGTGTATTAATTTGGGCAAGGGGCTTCAACCCATACCTCACGTTTCCCATTTACAAATGAGTTAGAGGGCTAGTTTAATAAGTGGTATTCTTAATATTGATATTTGAAAGGCAATTAGTTACTTTCCTAGTTTCTGTCAAAATTAATGGTAGCTCCCATGACAAATTTTTATGGGTACTTTGAATTATACATTTGCATGTGTCAGAAATAGTTCCTATCATCAACTAGTTTGAAATACACTAGTGGTCAGAAATAGCTTACTGTCATTTACTCACAAGGGCATTTTTCTCAGTCTCTTCACAGAATCAAATACGATCAAAATATATTGTCAGTTCACTGTGGTTTATTTAGAGTGTTCTCCAGTGGTGAAGATGCAGAAATACCAGTCTGTCACTTAGAGAACCGTTCTGGGGGCCACATCCTAGACCGCAGCGGTCAGCTGATTTCATACAAAATATTTTCCAGGGCGAACTGGAAAATTGCATTTTTGCCTTTGGCAGGTTTTCTCCACCTGTTTTTTCGCCCCATGGAGTCTCATACCTGAGAAACATGGGAAAATGTTCCTTTCCTAAATTGGAAAACTCAGCTGTAGTCTAAATGAAATGGGATAAATTATCTTTTTCACAATTATCCATTAAAGGGAGAATTAGAATTAATATTAATCACAGATGTTTCATCAAGTTTTATTATCAACCAGATTGACTGCCAAAGTGCTTTCTGGAAGACATTTTCTCTCCCTCCCCCACCTGCTACTGAGAACAAACTGTTATTATGGGTCTTTAGATAAAGATTAATGGTTTTGGCAGTTCATTTGAGGAAATCTGTATTTTACTGTACACTCCACTTCAGTTCAAGGCATTTCTGAAAAGCGAGGCTTGTCATTTCCCTGATAAAATTACACAATGAAGCCACAAGAAAGTAGGATTCTTTCTATCATGAGACACTAGTTAATCAATACACAGCCCAAGACTGATCTCACCAAACCCATATATGTATATTTAATCGTGGCACCTTGTTTATAAATGAAATAAGCAAAATGCCCATTTAATCCAGTGGTTTTAGCAGTTGTATTTTTACCCATCACACTTAAGTTACTTGAATATTACTCACAGCTTCTATGTCCTCTTTTTCTGGGATAATTCATTACCGTCAGTGTGACCCTTATCCTAATTATGAATATTTGGTAATGCTTCCTCCATGTGCAAAGTGTTCTCAAGAACACTTGAAGAACCTATGTTCATTAAGGTTCTCAACCTGTAAACGGTATTTATCCGTTTCTACCTAAATTAAGCAAAACCGGAGGAACTTTCTCCCTAGTAAAGAGATTGATATGTTTAACTGAAGGCCTCAGGATGAACAGTAACCATGGCAGTGCCGCGGATCCAGAACCTAGACACAAGTGGACAATTAGAATGACCTCATCAGGACACAGCCCTTCTACTTTCTCAGCTCTAACACGTCTCCTTTCCTTGTGTCACTGTTCTTGAGACTCCAGTTCCTGGGAGAAGCAATTCGGTTGGCCTAGATAGCTATCCTTTGAAAAGAATAAGCAGCACCTGGATTGACAAGCCCACCAAGACTGCATGAAATCAGGAAAGAGGAGCTCTTGAAGGTTTCCTTGGTGGTGGTTTGGTTTTGAGCCTCAGGAAGATAGGCTTTGATGCCTAATAGGCAAAAGCAGCCACTGGCCGAAACAAGGGTGTATTTCATTGTTGAACAGTAGTGGAGAATTCGTGGAATTGTTCAAAACAAATGGAAAATCTATGTAGCAAATGCTTTAAGTGCAACCAGGGCAGAGCATCAATATAACATTCATACTTATAGTTTGTTGTAGAGTAATATTTTATCTCTGTCTAGTTCTTTTGCATGCTTTACCATGTTCCAACAAATTAAAGAAAGTGACTCATATTTTTCAGTTAGGAGTTCTCTCACATTCCTTTGCTTTTCTTTATTTTAATAGAAAAAGCAAAAACTCCAAATAACAGAAGATACCCTCTGTGCTGATTCACAGCTTCCTTTCACTGATATCAGGAGGATTTAAGAAATGTGGAGTAGAATGGGTAAAATCCCATTCCGGCCCTGTCCAACTCTAGTCAGATCTGGGATCAGTCAGGTAACTGAGTCTGCCTTCAGAATGATGGAGTTGATCTAGGCTGACCGTCTCAAGGAACAAGAAATTTAACATGTTCTAATATCTGATATCAAGTTTACGTTTGGGAAATTCTGAGTTGAAGTCAATTCTTCTCCCCTTCTTGAGAAGGGAAAGCAAGACTTCTTGGGGCCATAAATGCAATGCCATGTATTGCAACTCTCCAAAGAGAGAGAGAGATGATATCTTTTGCTCACCAAACTTATTAGACATAGGAACCTCTTTTTCGCTAGAGCATCTGGCGGGACCTGGCTTCCATGGAAGGAGGTTAGGTCATTTATAAAATCCCATTCAGCTTTAAAATACACTAAGCATATGCTTCTCCTAGTCATGAAAAATGTGAAATCCATTTTAATACCATTCATCATCCAGCCCTTTCTTTGTACTTAGTGTATCAGACTTTCTGTATAGTTGAACCCACAGTCTTGCATCTAATGCTCCTTTGAGGTGAGCAATAAATACAGATTAGTTGTCTCTTCCTTCAAGGATTCATGTGTTTGTGGTGAAATCCGCCACCTTAATTCCTATGAAGGCTGTTTGAAGTTTTTGAAATAACTTCTGTCACTTTTCTGAAGTCTTATTTTAAATGTAGATCCCAAACATGAAGACAACACTTGCTCAGATCTGATAAAGAAGTAGACACAGGTTCACTTCGCAGCTTAGGGGGTTTTGTTTTTCCTGAGATACACCTGTGCTCGTAGTCGCCTTTTCTCTTCTTCATTGATCGTATTCAACTCAATCCCACTGTAAGGTACCATTTCACTAGCTGTCTTCAAGAGCTAGTTACTCCATCCAAATAATTTACTCGTAAACCTAGTCTCGGATCTGTCTCCAGTCCCTT